CCAGTCTGGGCTACCTAGTGAGTTTAAGGCCAGACCAAATTACAAAGGGAAACCTCTCAAAATGCCAGAAAAAAAAAAAGAAAAGCAACCCTCATAATACTTCCATTTACCAGGTATTTACTTGAATGCAACTCTTTTCCAGAGATAGTGATGAATTAATGAATTTTTTAATCTGCCCAATGCTTTGCATTAACACAAAGTAATATACTGTAAATAGAAACTGTTTCAGATGTTTAGTATTACATTTTTCTCTGAAATTTCTTTTTGTCTTTTCTGTCTTAGCTTCTACTCCTAAACCATCTAATGAAATTTTGAAAGAAGCAGACACAGATGTACAAGTTTGTCCTAACTATTCCATACCTCAGAAAACAGATTCCTATTTTAATCCCAAAATGAAACTAAATCGGTAAGATAATTGAAAATAGGATTATAAGATGTTTCAAACTATTATAAATGTGCTTTTTCTTAACTTTTATGATCTAATATATTAAAATTTAAAACTATATGCAGAATGAAATTCATCTATTTGAACTTCTGAGTGATTGTTTCTGATTTTTTTTCTACTGAGCCTGTTTGTCAGAGTAAAATAGGCCTAACTTTAGAAAATTACTAGATAGCTTTATCCCCTTATAACAAATATTAATAAGTAAATGAGAGAATGCTTATTAATAAGAATCCAGTTAGATCCATTGTATTATCCATAAACTTTTAGGTCTAACACTTATTAGGATTAAGGTTTTTTTAGATTTATTTTCAAAATAGTTTGTACCGCAAGTAGGAAGCCCTTGTCCTCAGTTTCCTTAAATGAAATAAAACCTACATTGCAGAAGCCATACAACAGTAAAATTATTTCAGATTCTTACCTCTTCTAGACAACTAATATTCTGTACGTTGGCTGCTTTGGCTGAGGAACGCAAACCTTTGGAGTGTCTGGATGCCTTTGGAGCCACTGGTAAGGAAGTTTATTTGAAATCCTTTTTTTATTTATCAGATTTGTACAATATCTTTTCTTAGGAAATAAAATTGATATATTTAGCGAAATGTTTTGATATAAAGATTCAAAAACTTTTATTGTGAAAATTTTCGGCTATTAGAAGAGTATAATAAATCTTCGTAGGGCATGCTGAGATGGTGATTGCGACTGGGCGTGGTGGTGCACAACTGTAATCCCAGCGCTTGGGAGGCTAAAAACAGGAAAATCACCACGAGTCCGATCAATGTAGTGAGACTCTGTAAACCCTGTACTAAATACATTAAACTTTTTGTATGCACCGCTCACTTCAAAAATTGCTCAGTGTTAAAAAAAAAAAAAGGAGGCGGTAGGCGCTGGGGAGATAGCTCAATGGAATAAGTGCTTGCCAGGCAAGTGCAAGGTCCTGAGTTCCATCCCTGGTACCACAAAAAAAAAAATGCTCAGTGTTGCCTGTAACCTCATGCCACATCCCTTCATCAATGAGAGTGAACCTTTTAGAGACTGAATGCCCAAATTGTAACCCAAAACCCACTTACCACAAAGAGCCAATATAGCAATCAAACCTGAATCCTGACGTTTTAGTTTAGAAATAAACAGCTCACACACTTGAGTACATGTGCCATAGGTTTGCCATCATTTAGTCCCTCCATACCCAAATATTTAGATAAATTGTGGCTAATTCATTTCAAGTAAATACTTGAGTCAGACGCCTAAAAGAGAAAGACTTTTAAAGTAGAACCACAACCCCAGATTGTGGCACACCTATACCCCCAGTATTCTGGGAAACTGAAGCAAGATAATTCCATATTCAAGCTCAGCCTGGAGACATAGTGAGACCCTATCTCAAAATGAAAAAATAAAGGACTGGGGATGTAGCTCAGTGTGAAGGCCCTTGGAATCAATTCCTAACACTAGAAAGAAAAAAAAAACCTGCAATATCATTATCACACCTGAAAAGATTACAAACTATTATTCAGTATGTTCAATCATATTTTAAGGAATTCATGTTAGAATCCAAAGATTATTATCCTACTCTGTTCCCTTCTGTCATTTTGAGTGTATATTGGGGGGTGGGGGGTTGACATAAGACTTTCGTTCTGTAGATTTTCTATCAAAGTTTTTGCTATCTGTTGCCATAGTTCATGTAACATTTTTCTGTTGTACATTTTTGAAAATTATTAGTTTGATTAGATCTAGTTAGAAATTTTTTTTCAAGAATTCTTACAACCGATGAGTCTTTGTATCGCGATGACCGTTGCCTGGATTCAAAGATCATGGAAACAATAAAGAATTTCTAGAAAGGTACTTTACCCACCCAAATATTTCCTTGTAAATATTATAGAACAATATATTTGGGATGTATGTACCAAAGCATAAATAAGCTCTCCTTTCTAAGCCCCTCTCCTGTGGAAAAGCAGTGGTTAAAAGCATAAACTATGAGCTATACTGCCCTGGTTCAGCACCCAGCATCATTGCAGGCTACTTTCATGACCACAGGAAATTATGCTTCAGTTCATTCATATAAAAAGGAGGGGACACTAATACCCACCTACAGTAATGAACATTGAAGGTAACCTCGATGCAGGTTGCAACTTCATCTCATGGTGTATGACCACAGGATATTATACCTTGATTTACTCATTGGTCAGAAAGGGGTTGGCGGGATATGCTGATAATTCTCTCCCCTGACGTGAACAATTTTTTTTTTTTTCTTTTTGCTGTACTGGGGATTGAACTCAGGACCTTGCACTTGGCAGGCAGGCACTTATTCTACTGAGCTATCTCCCTGGTCCACTAGTATCTATCTTAAAACAATGGAGATTTAAGTAAATTAATACAGTTAAAATCATTAGAAGAGTGCCTGTAAAATAGCAAATGCTATAAAACTATTAGGTATCATCTGTATTGTATGATTACTACTACTGCCACCATTACTATCATCATTAGTAATGTCTCAAAGCAAATATAAAAAAAAAAAAAAAAAACAAGATGATACTTTTTGGGTTATTGGAGGTAGAATTTGAATCACTTTTAATTTTTTTCCTCTACCATCCCCACATAAATTCAGCTACCTGATCTAATTTTTTTGGTAATATAACTTGCCTGCCTTTTCTGCTTCACTGATTTAATGATTTATTGACAAGCCTATTGATGTAGTCTGTAATTGATATTCCTACTTCCAGTTTATTGCTTCTCCAGTTTGTCTTGTATGCTGCTGCCAGCCAGCCATGCCCCTGCAGTAGTACACTTTTAAACCTGAAAACAATAAAACTGCTATCTATGGAGTACCTTTTCAGCCTTTTTAATATGCTTTTGTAAGTTTGTATCAGTTTTCTAGCAGTCCTGTTGCATGATTGCCATGCCTAAAGTGAGCACATTAGTGCTCACCTCAAAGTTTATTGTAAGAATATTTTTAATAAAGTCTTTAATGTACAGTAGTTATGCATTTTCCACTTTATAGATGTATGGAGTTGGTCAGCATTTCTATACATTGGAACTTCTATAGTCTTATGTTGGCTAAGTTAGCCCTGGGTTCAGTCCTCGGCTCCAAAAACAAAAAATAAACCTCTCCTCAAAAAACACTTTA